GCTTGTGTCTCGCTGGGCCCACACCTGGTCCTGGGCTCCTGGCAGTCCCGGTGGTCGCACGAGGTGGCGGCTCCCCGGGCCTGGTGCCAGGGGGGGCGCGGGGGCTGTTCTGGGCCGCGGTGGCCCAGGCAGCTCTGCGGTGGCCCAGATGGCTCCGCGGCGGCAGCCAGTGATGAGCAGCCGGATTTGGGTTCAACCACGGCGCTGGAAGTGGTGGAATAGCGAAGATCCACTTGGAAGTGGTGTCAGGCCTGAGTCACGGCCAGGAAGAGGGGAGGAAGCCTGTGCTTAAGACATATTACTTGCAATGCGTCTTCTTCCCACGCAGGTTGGGCAGCTTCCCGCCACAGAGCCTGGATCCTGTCTGCCTTTTGCAGGGTTTTGATAGCAGGATTTTCCAAGCAGCCGCTTTTTGGATTTCGTGTGAAGTGCTGCCACTGATTTGCAATTTAGGGGTGGTGTCGAGCTCTTTCACTGATCCCTCCCTTGCTTCTTGAAACTCCATTTGTACTGGATCCATCAGGTCTTTTCTTGCCTGGTTCTGCCCTGTTCTGGCCTGACCTGCTGCTAAAACCTCCTTTCGTAGTGATTGTTTGACCCACAGATAACTGAGGAGGAAATAAGTGAGCAGGGGAGGGAAATCTGCACAATCCAATTCCGACCAGCCCTCCAGTGTGACTGGAGAGTAACTTGATTTGAATGGGTTGATCCTCACACACTGAAGACACTATTTACCTGGCTACCTCAAATACATTAAGCAGGCTTTACCCTGAAATCAGGTGCAGAGAAAGGGCACGTAAAGGTGTCGGGACATTCGATTTTTCAATTGCTCTCAAAGTGAGTGTTCACGGGGCAGTCTGGAGCTGGGGTGTGAAGGCCCTGGTGCGATGGCAGCGCTCCCTTTGCCGTCGGCGAGGTCAGCCCCGAGCCCTGCAGCTCCCTCCGTGCCGTATTCCCGGGATGGGGCACGGCCGTGGGAGAGCTCCCCTGCCCCTGGGCCTGCTCTGCGCCGGGCTCTCAGCCTGGCCAAGGGCTCCTGGGTGCTGTTCTTGGACTGGGAATCTGTCTCGGTCCCAAACTCCCGTGTTTCTGCTGTGCCCTGCGTGTTCTGCCCGTGTCTTCTCCCTTGCAGGGAGGTTCTTCTGCATCTCTCGGCAGGTCCCCAGGGGCTCTGGTGCATGGGACGCTGCTCGCGCTGCCTTCAGAGCCGCCTGGGCCGGAGGTGACCTGCTGTTTGCAGCGTGAGCTTGCAGCACTGCGCGTTGGATTAGGGTTGGTTAAGGCTGGAAGCCCTCAGAGTGCACCCAAAACAACCTTGTGCAACCAGCCTGCCCGTTCCCAGGGCCTCTTCCTTCCCCTGCCTCTCCCTCTTTGGAATTTCTCTTGGATGCGTCTTGGCTTTGCTGTCTTGCGAGGCGGCCTGGCCGCCCGGTGCAGCTCTGCAATACCAGTAATTGCTGCTGTTGCCAAAGCCCCCGCAGCCTCCTGGAGCTGCGGCTTTGCAAGCTGCACCGGGGCTGCTGCTGCTGCCTGCGCGCGCAGGAGACACCCCGTCCCCGGGGGCTGCAGCTGGGAGCTGCAGTCTTAAGAAAATGCATCACGTTTTTCCATCTGTGTAATGGAAACTCACACAGTTACAACTCTCCCTCAGTTGTAAGGTGAAAGTGGTAGGAAACTGGTCATGCTGCAGTATGAGAAGTCAACCCTATGCAATAAGCACACATGTTTTTTGAGTGTCAGGATTTAGCAAGCTGCTCCTGGAGGGTCTGCGCCCATCCGTGCGGCTCCAGGGCAGCGAGCGGGAGAGGAGGAAGCTGCTCGAGGCGGTTGTCTCTGCGTTGCTCCTTTCTCTGCTGCAGCGTAACTGCCCCTGTCCTTGCAGGTCCCAATAAGCAGTCGCTCTGGAAGCGTGTGCTTTCACAAACCTGCAAAAATGCTTTCAAGGAATTAGGAAAATGCACCGATTCTTTTGGGATTGCGAATGTCTTACAGAGGATTATGAACTCCTGGGTGAGGAACAGACCAGAAGGACAAGAACAGGGTTTGGGCAACGTGGGAGGGCCGCCCTCTCCAGCCCTTGTCTCGGGACATGGACAGGGACCTCAGGGCTGGGACCTGGAGAGCCCCTTTGTGCCCAGGATGGCTCCAGCTGTCGGAGTCCAGAGAAGATCAGTCCCTTGCGCAAGCACAAGCCAGATCCCCATGGAAAAGCCATGGCAAAGTCTCTGGGAGCTGCTCCCTGTCTCTGTGCATTCCAGCTTTTCAGTTTCCTCCTCAACTCCCCAACCTTGTCATTGGTGGCAGCTCTGGGTCCCGCTGTGTCTCCGTGTGGGTGGAGGAAGACACCAGAGCGGCTCCGCACGGAGCAGGATTGGGAGAGACGTGGGAGGATCTTGCAGGTCACCTGGGAACCGCTTCCTCCCGTCCCCAACCACGTCTGCACCCAAGGGAGGATCCTTAAACCCCCGCCTGGCACGGCCGGGCGCTCAGAGCAGCAGCATGAGGCCGAGGAGCGTCTTGGTGCTGGGGCTGCTCGCCCTGTGCGCGGGGCTGCAGGCGGCACCCACCAAAGGCAAGTACGGGCGCGCTTGGGACTCCCACCCTTTGCAGCTTCAGAGGGGTTTTGTGTGTTCTCAGTGAGGTGTGCTAAGGTGTTTGTTTTAATTCTTATATTTATCAAAGATTTCTGTGAATGGTTGTGACCCGTGTGAGTTTTAGCCCTGATTTAATTTTATGTTCTTTGCATTCTGCAAAAGATTGAGAGCCAAGCGAATGCCGTAAAGATTGTCATCCTCGTTCTGGTTCTGCGTTCTGTCATTTCCTTCGAGGGCCTTTCCCTGCC